TTACTTACTTACTTACTTACTTACTTACTTACTTACTTACTTATTTGTATGCCACCTTTATTATTTTTACAAATAATCCAAAGTGGCAAACATATCCAACACATTTTCCTTCTCCTATGTTTCCTACAAACAACAACCCTGTGAGGTAGGTTAGGCTGCAAGAGAGTGTGAGCTCAAGGTCACCTACCTAGCTTTCATGGCTAAGGCAGGATGCGAACTCATGGTCTCCTGCTTTCTAATCTGGTGCCTTAACCACTAGATCAAATTGGCTCTCATCCACAGTGAAAAAGACTATCAGAGTTTACATTTAGTATGAAATGCTAATAATAATAATAATATGTTTTAGTACAGGACACTCTTTAGTTGTTTGTAACAACCATTTGAATTGGACTGTCTGGACATTTCTACTCTAAAGAACTGTAAGGCCTACATGGGGCTATCTATGCTACCCTAATCTGGGTGAAAATAAAACTAGTGACTATGGCAATACATAACATCTGGAAGGAAATAATTTGCTTATCTCCACAATGGAGCACTAGATTTCAGTATAAAAAATTGGTTATTGGTTCTGCTTGCAAAGGATTATTGAATTGGGCTAATTAATTGTGAAATTAAATGATTAATACAAATTAAGACTCTGTTTCTTTTCAAATGTATCTACATGCTTTTAAGTTCTGAAATTTAAAACTTTCTATTCAAACTATAAACTTTTTGCATAATTTTCTTCCAGCATTGTATTAGAATTTTTCTCTTAAACACAGGAATAGATAGTTGGGTGATTTAATATCTTCAGTCAAATGCAAGCAATCCAGTGCCCCCCAGATATTTTGGGTTTTAAACCCTTATCAGGCAAAGTTGGTATAAAAGATTGTGAAAGGATAACGAATTGCCGACTTCTTCATTACTCTGAGAGTCTTCAGATGGATCACTTTCTGAATTCCTTAGGTTTGCCTCTACATTCCCGAAGATATTTTTTGAATTTGCTAAAATGTTTTGTTTTATATTACATCATGTGCTACGAACTGATTATACATGGCAACATATTTGTTAGCATCACCACATATCCACCATTTGGCAGAGTTCTAAAATCATGCTAGATGGCCTAAAATGTTGGAAACTTATTTTAATGTTCCAATCTAATTTCACCTAGCATGCTCAATCCCTCTATCCAGATCAGAGCAAGCACATACCACTCAGTTCTGCTAGAAAATAATAATAATAATAATAAATGGCTTGATCTTTATTTATTAAACATTAGCAAACACCATAACAGTTAACTGGCAAAAGCAAGACAAAAGCAGGAAAATGTAGGGAGGGAGACCAGAACAACAGGCAAGAATTTACCTATATATCTCTATATGTAAAAAGGCACAAAATTTTCCAGAGCTACTGGAAATTATAATGTGAATAATTAGTATGGGTGGTGGCCTTTCTTTTATCCCATGTTTAAACCTTTTATGTGTACAATGGCAGAAGAGAGACTGAAAGAAGAAAGAACGTGATCCTTCCTTAATTCTGCACCATTAATGAAAGAATTTATTGAATAGGGATGATAAAAAATAAAAATCCCATTTTCCACAGTTTTTCTCCCCATATTATCAGATATCCATTCACTCTTGGAGGGGAGATTTGTCTGAATTTCACAATGCCCTGAGCCCATTCAGTTCTTACTGGACAATTGAAGGAGTTATGCTTTCCATTTAGGATTTTGCCCCTTCATTATTTTCCTGATTTGAAAACCCTCAGGACCAGTTGTGGTATTCAGCAGGTTCTGACCAGTTCTGGAGAACCAGTAGCGGAAATTTTGAGTAGTTCAGAAGGCCAGCAAATACCACTTCTGACTGGAGATTTTGCAGTATCCTTCCCCTGCCACGCCCAGCAAGCCACGCCCACAGAACCGGTAGTAAAAAAAATTGAATCCCACCAATGCTCAGGACCTATACCAAGTTTATTTAATATCTCCCTTTTAGGCATTTTAGGCACAAGAGCAAAGACATTCACATTTTTAATTTCAGACTGAACTTTGAAATTTGACTGGAAATTTTAAGAGACAAAATGGAATTGAAGGAGAATCAACTTTCAATACCCTTGGGAAAAGGGTACACTGCGTAAATTATGAGAACAAAAATGTGTGAAAGTGAACATGAATAAGGCCTTTTCTCTGTCTTGTTGTTCATTAAAATGTAAGGGTAGAGATCTATACAAGGTTTCTGAAACTGCCAACGTCTGTTATTTGTCAGCCATGTTCAGATCACTCATTGTCACATGCTGAGACAGCAAACTAGAAAGCCCAGATCATTCAGAGCTACCATGGCAAAAATTAGAATGTCGATAATGCATGAAAGAGAAAGAAGACTATCGGTTGATTTTCTATTACCACAAGAGATTGAATAGTAGAATTTAAGAGTGACTGGAATTTACTGCTGCTGCTTTACATGTGACAAACCTTACATTTCAACCTTGTCCTTAATTTAGATAGAAAAGAAGAAATAGAGTTTGCCCATGATCAGGAACACCTTACCTGCTTTGGCACAATAGTAGGCAAAACTACTACTGAACCAAAGTATTTTGTTATCTAAGGCAAAGTGCATAGTAAGTTTCTATTCTATGTAGTAAAGCTTCTTTGATGGCAGCATCTACCAACACTGAGAAAGCCAAAATCTGAAGTCAAGGACAAGTTATGTGACATTCAAAGTTTTGACAGAGATAAGTAGCCAGGGTGTCAACTCATAAAACATTTCTATGCTTGTTTTAGAGTTGCCATGAACAGGGGGATGGGGAGAAATTTGAAGGAGCAGTGCGACAGTTTAAAACTAAAAGTACATTCCATTCTTATCTTACAAAGATTGTAACTAAGCTACTGGAATTTCTGCCTCAAAAATCCCTAATTGGAGAATGTGATTGATGACTCTCAGCTATGAATGTGTTTCACTGGAGAATATGAATTATGATGCATCCAGGGGAGTGGGGGAAAAGCAGGGTCATAAAGTGATAGTGAATTATATGTCTCAGAATCAGCTTCATACAGATCATGCCGACATGTTCACTCCTAATAAATCCTTTGAAGCTTTTGAAGCTTGGCTCGAGGCTCATGATTTAATTTAACTGCCAGAATCCTGACACATGGAGCTCAAGGGCCAATGTTCCCATACATACCATTCTAGTATGCTTATGGTAGAATCAGTTTTGTACCTCAGGTAGTCCTTGATTCATATGCATTTGTTTAGTGACTGCTCAAAGTTACACTGCACTAAAAATGGACTTGCAATCATTTTTACCACTGCAGCATCCCCATAATCACATGATCAAAATTCAGACCCTTGGTAACTGGCATGGATTTATGATGGTTGCAATGTCCCAGAGTCATGTGATCACCTTTTGTGACCTTTTGACAAGTGACATGAACGGGGAAGCCAGATTCACTTAACAACTGTGTTAAGTGTAATTTAACAACTGGAGTGTTTCACTGAACAGTTGTGGCAAGGAAGGTCATAAAACGAGCAAAATTCAACAACTATGTTGCTTGGCCATGGAAATTTCAAGCTCAATTGTGGTTGTAAGTTGAAGGCTATTTGTATTGACCTACTTTTATCATATTGTATAAGACTGTATGCTTATTTCTATGCAATGGAATACCATTTCCTCATTTGGGAATCTTGGACTAAGTGAGTGGAAGGGTTGATTTCCCTGACTGGTGCCAACTCAAGGGTTATTGACTTATTGAACGCTACATGTACAGACAGAACATCTTTTGCATTCCAATTAGTATAAGTTTCTTGTTCTATTTGAATATTCCAGAGTTTGTACACCTAAGCTTCTTTCATAACTTTTGCTTGTTTTTCCAATATTGGCCTCATACCAGGTTTTTAAAAATATAAATATGTACAGGTAATTCTCCTTTATAAGTCATAATGCATTTTAAGTATTACCAGTAACTTAGAATAATGGGAGCCCAGGTTCTTTGTACATAACTTCTTTGAGATTTTCCCAGACAGCTGCAAAGAAGATATGGACAGTACATTAAGCTATGTTTTGTTTAAAGAAAAAAATCAGGGAATATTCTGTAAATATTTTAGTTTTACCTTTTTATTTTGAAAAAGCAAGTGTGTCTATTTTATTTGTTTTTCAAGTGGTGCTACTCCTGAATACCATCAGTATAAGACAGAGATCCCCAAAGTTAGCAACTTTAAGACTTGTGGACTTCAACTTCCAGAATTCTACAGCCAGCTATTCTGCCTGGAGAATTCTGGGAGTTGAAGTCCACAAGTCTTAAAGTTGCCAAGTTTGGAGACCTCTGTGTAAGATAGTGAAAGACTGGCATTGTCAAAACTATTTACCCAACTGTTGATACTGTGTGTTGGAATTCTCTTGGTCTGCTGGTGTCGGTGCTGAGTAGGCAGAGAGCAGCAAATTCAGAGAATTAACAAGTTGATTCTGGATCGAACTGAGCTTTGAGGCAGGTTGCTTTATTGCACTGGCTAGCTCGGGATAGCCATGTTCTAGGCACAGCCACTGCTCTTGTAAGAGATCCTGGATTTTTTTAAGGTATTGGCCCACAATGGGATCTGCAGGTGATTCCTTTGCTTCTTGATGATTCCGCTCCTCTTGATCTTGTGGAGCATATTCTTGAAAAATGATTTGCATTCCTTTGGATTTTATGTCAGTGGGCTTGGGAGCAGAACCATTTTCTCCACCAGGAACAAAGAGCTGAGCAGTCAAAAGGTTTCTTTCTGTCTTGTTGTTTTCATTATCAACATGTAGCTCATTATAACTTGGTTCAACAATGGGGCAATCACTTTCCTGAGCAATTCTCCCTCCTTCCTTGTTTTTTTGCAAAGTAGGCTTATCTCTTCCTCCATCATCAGCAGAAACACCTGATATCTCAGCACAGAGTAACTCTTTACATACTTCCTCATTTTTATCATCAGCCTCATAAGTATCGCCTCCTAGAGGTTCCACAAGCTGCGTAATGCTTACAGAAATCTCTTTTTCATGCATCACCTTTTCATGTACATGTTCGGTATTCACAGCAACATCGAAGTATTGGGGGGCATTTCTGACCTGCATGCCCGGCTTAATTTCTTTGATGTTCTCCCCACAGAGCTTTTCTTCCAGCTGGGCTTTAGAACTTGCTAGCAATTCAATGCTTCTCTCTTTTGCTTTGATTTCTTGATCCTGTTGCTTCAAAACTATCCGGATCTGTTCAAGTTCTTCTGTTTTGTGATTCAGCTGCTTCTCCAGAATTGCAATATGCTGCTGTAATGCTCTTATATTGCTGGGATCTTTGAGAAGGAAGGGCTCGAGTTCTATATTTTTCCCCACTTCTCTAGCGCTAAGACCTGTCACTTCACCCTCTTCCTCTACTTCTTCTGTAACAGCCTCACATATGTTAAGTTCTATTTCTTCCTGGGATTTCTTTATAGGCATGTTTTCTGAGGTACCGGTAGGGGCCAATCCACTCTGAACTGATGATGGATACACCTGTGTCTCATGACATTCTTCTCCACTCTCGACCGCCTCAGGGAGTTTCTGAGAAATCAGGGGTTGGCTTTGCTGTGGATCACTGAGTTGTGTTATTTCCTTAGGAAGCTCTGTTTGTTGCTGGTCTAACAGAAGCTGAGCTTCACTCCTTAATCCTGGACTTTTCTCAGAATCCTGGATGGCTTTATTGGTTTGTTCGTTCATATCTGTTAGATTTTCATGAGTGGGTAATGAAGGTCTTTTGGAACTCGTTAACTCGGGTGGTTTTTTTGCGGGGCTAAAATCAAGCTCTAAACCATTTCCATTGGAAGACTGAAGGGATCCTGAAGGCAGAAAAGCTGCCTGGTGAGTTTCTTCTTCTAAATTTCGAATTGGTGGAAGTTGGGCAGGCATGCTGGATGTCCTTAGAAGCTGAGGCCTTCCTTTACAATTGGCAGCCTCCCCTTCAAGGGGAAGAGGATCTTGTTTGACAGTCTCTATTAGCAGGGCTTTCTTTCTGCAGCTTGGTCCTTGGGGAAAAGGTAAACATGAAGACACATCAGTGGATGTGACCAGGCACCTGCTCGCCTCTGCATCTAAAGAGGTCTTTCTCTGTGTAAGGAAATTCTTGTTTAAGGAAGACGAATAGACATTGGATCCATTTTCTGGAAGGCTAAAGTTCCGAGGCAGGGTGCTAAATTTGGGGTGCTTAGCTTTCCGCCGGACTGGAATTCTCTTGATAGTATTTCCCTTTTCAATGTCATCGACATACTTCAGGAAGTCAAGATCTAAATGGAAGCCATAGGGGGTTTCAACAGAATAAGGACTTTGGGGTGGATCTTTATCCTCTGCTTTTGATGCCCAGTTATCTGCTAACATGGAAAACAAATAGAAACAAAAAAAAAAAAAGCTTTAATTTACAAGAGATAATATTGCAATCTAGAAATCTCATTATTATCCATATTCATTCTTCCTGATACATACAAATAGTTGAAGACAAACCTGGATATTTGGGGAAAACATTTGGGAAAGATTCTTCTCTTTTTAGATTAATTCTTCAGGGAATTCTACACATCTGTTCTAATACTGCAGAGCTGTTGGCTTGAAAGTAGAACAACCCATAAAGCTATCTTTTCTACTTCTGACTGGATATAAACAACTTTTATACTGAAACAACCCATATACATATCATACATCATTCTTATTCCAAGGATTTCACTGTGTAAATTACATGTGGCCAAGGATCGAGTTTTATGGAAAAGCCAGAAGGAAGTAACAAAGTATTTTGACTAAGTAACATTATGCACGCAGAATATTAATAACAGACTGATTAAGGCTGATCTTTTTGAGCTTATCAGGTTTCATCCCAAGGAAGTTTAAAATGTTGGTCTTCATTCCTTGGAGGAAAGACAGGATATTAAAAAAAGAAAGAAAACTAAATACCAGACGAGGAGAGTTAGATACGCTAAGTTTAAGTCCTCCTATTGGTTTTCTCGAGACCTGCCTTCCTCTAGGTTGAAGCCACACAGACTTATTCCAGCACTGATGAAAATCAGCCTGTTTCAATATGCATAACTTTTTATTCTAATGCTAGCTATAGCTCCAGGCATAACTACAAGGCAGCTTCATTAAATCACCATGCAGTTAGTCTCCATCCACAAGGCAAAGAGGCAGAGAACAGCTGGCAATTTGTCATCCAAGACATGTCTGTAGAGTCAGCTAGAAGATGCAGCCCTAAAGCGGGATGTGGAAGTATATAAACTTATTTTCTGTGACTGCACAGATATTTATTCCACTAAGAGTCCTCAGCAATTTGCTAAATCATCATTCCAGTTGATAATTCTGTAAACAACAGCTTCTGCAGACTGTGTTGCAGAACTGTTTTAAAAGCCACATGATTCTAATATATGTGAAATCTTTACTATTACTGTATGTTCAGTGCCGATAATGCATTTTTCAACACGTTTTCTAACCATGACAAGTACTTACTGGCATGGATTGAACAGTAGTCATAAAAGAAAAAGAAATGCTATGTCAGCCTTGCTTTTTTTAAAATGTAAGAATGTTTCAGTGGGCACACAAGACGGCATGGCCTCAGATATTTATTTTGTCTATAAAGCTAAATAGATAAATACTATTTAGGCATTTGTTAATAGTCTTCTAAGAGAAGTTCTTGCTAAATAGACTTCACTGCATCATCTATTTTGGGCTCTTGGATATGTTCTTTGGAATACTGAGTACAGAAAATTAAATTTCTCCACAAATAAATGAATGAAAGAAATACTACAAGAGGGCTAAAATCAATTATTTGATTATTTAATCTGATTAAATTGAATTATTTCATTCAAAGCCAAACTACCCTTGATGCTGTTTGGGGATAGAGTTACTTAATACCCATTTAGTCATGCATATGGGTAACTATACAAAAATAGTGAGTATGACAGGTTCTACTCTTTTAACCTCAATATTGATTGAATCTCAGTAAGAACAACCCCATCACAATGAAAACCAAGCTGGCATTGGTGCTAAATTTTTACTTTTGTTTAAAGACTACGCATTCATAAAACACAATTCTGCCAACTTTGTCTGTGAAATCTTCTCCAACATTTTATGTAAAATGCTGTCTAGATCTCCTACCTGCATTCTTTTTGGTTAGAATTTATGCATTGGAGACTCCTTCCACAGACCAAGAGGAAAGGCTGTTGGATAAATCTGTAAATCTGAATCATCCCACCTTCCTAATTTCCAATCATTTATCAAAACCGATTATCAATGGCACCACTCAAAAATACATGCTTTCTGAAATACTACTTTCTGCCATTGTATGGATAGATTTTTGCACACAAAATGTACAAAATGACATTTCAAAAACAAAGTGGTCCATTTATGTTGTTATTAGTAAAAGATAATTTTACTTCATAGAGAAAATGCTTGGCTTTCAATTAAGATGAAGTTTGTATCCATACCATCTGTATTCTCCATGATGAGAATTCTGTCTAATTTGTCGATGTCAAGCCGTTAGTAATACTTCATAAAAAGAAATGCAGTCCACCTACAAAAAAAGAAGAAGAAGGGAGTGTCTTTGTTTTTTTAAAAAATGTAAGTCATGGCTGTTTCAAGAATTGAGTATAACAATTATTTACATTTTAGTTTTATATATAAGATATACATTTCACGCCAATGTATTGTAAAAACGCATTCTGCTCTTCCTGGAATTTCTGGAATGAAATTCTGTCTACTAGCCCTTACCTGATAAACATTTTAAGAATTTTTTAAAATTGGTGTTCCTCTCCTCACCATGACAGTTTCTGCTCTGAGAATACATAACTCTGCGTGATCATTTCTTACCGCTGAGGAACCATTCACTGTACTTCCAGAAATTCAGCATTATGAATAGAGAAATGCCCAGGGGGTGCATACTGAGCAGAAACTAACATGATATAGTAGCTATGTGAAAGTACAAATGTTTTGAAAACGAAAAAAGAACCTATAACAGAGTTAGAAAGAGGAAAAGGGTCCCTTGGTGTCAATATGGTGTCAGGAAAGCTGAAGCTGAAAATGAATTGAAATTGACAAATGATGCTGAGAATAACAGAAAAGGGCTTCTGTACATAACCTTCAAGTAAAAGAATCAATGAAGACGACAAAATGTTGACAAATAAAGAGAACCAGCTATAGATAGTCTTGACTTACGACCACAATTGAGCTCCAAATTTCTGATGCTAAGGGAGATATTTGTTAAGTGAGTTTTGCTCCATTTTACAACCTTTCTTGCCAAAGTTGTTAAGTGAATCACTGAAGTTGTTATTTTTTAACACAATTATGTTACACAATGGGATTTCCACATTGACTTTGCCTGTCAGAAATTTGCAAAAGGTGATCACATGATCCCAGGATATTGCAATGGTCATAAATGTGAGTCAGTTGCCAAATATCTGAATTTTTATTTGAATGGTGATGCTACAACAGTCATAAGTGTGAGAAATGGTCATAAGTCACTTTTTTCAGTACCGTTGGAATTTTGAACAATCACTAAATGAACTGTTGTAAATTGAGGACTACCTGTGTGTATGATGTACAGGCACATTATCACTGGATATATGATAATAAACATCTTAAAATAGTAACAATAGCACTTAGACTTATATACCATTTCACAGTGCTTTACAGTCCTCTCTAAGTAGTTTACAGAGTTAGCATATTACCCCCCCGCCAACAATCTGGGTCCTCATTTTACCCACCTCGGAAGGACGGAAGGATAAGTTTACCTTGAGCCAATCACGATTGAACTCCTGGCAGTAGGCAGAATCAGCCTGTAACACTGCATTCTAATGACTGCGCCACTACGGCTCTTATAGCTGATTGCATGCTGAATATGATTCAGCAGTTTGATGCCATTGCAGAAAAGAACAATGTTATTTCATATTACATCAACAGAAATATTGTGCTCAAATCATGAAAAGTAACAACTCCATTTTATTCTGCTTTGGTTAAATCATAGCACAAAAGCCATGTCCAATTCTGGCCACCACAGAAAGGATTCAAGGAACAAGTTTAAGAAATGGCAACAAGGAAGTGCAAGGGTTTGTAAGCTAAGTCTCATGAATAAAGGGTGAAGCAGATGGACTTGTGTAAGCTTGAAAAGTAAATACTTAGGGGCATATAAAAGCATTTTCCATACCTGAAAGGATGTCATGCAGAAGAAGGTCAAGACCTGTTTTCTATCATTTCACATTGCAAAATGTAGAATTATGGATTCACATTCTAGGAAATCAGACTCATCTTCCAACAATAAGAGCAGATTATCAAAAAGAAGGAAAAAAATGTGTTCTTGGTTGTGTTGAAGAAAGAACTAGATGGAGATCCTTGCACTTAGCTTAAATGCCCCATCTAATTCTACTTCTCATTGTATTATATGAGATATGTTGATCATAGTAGGATGACTTGCAATTTTCATATTGTTTTCCTAGTTTAAATAGTTATATATAAATTCATCTTCAACTCAACTTTGAATCCTGTGAATTTTGTGAACACATTCATGTAATATTCTTGGCAACAATAGACAAGTGATTGCCTTTGTCACCGTTGTATAATGTTTTCTTGACTTCATTGTCTCAGTTACAGTTGTCTAGTCTTCCATTTCTATATGACATATGTTTGCGTGTGCGTGTATAGCAGACTCAAAAATTTCAATTAGAGATAATCCTATTTATGCTTAAGAAGCTCAAGGTGTCAATGGTGAAAAGTATACAGTTGTAGAAATAAATAATAGGTCCTTAATTTTTCTTTTAATGGTACAAAAACCCAATTACAGACTTAAAATGTCAGGAATGTAATATTTAATGTGCCTATTTGTGCATAGAAAAATTCTGTTGTCAACCCAGATCATAAATTTCCTGTTTTAGGGATAGAGATAATTCTTCTTGGTAACCTTGATCAGTGCTTTAATTGCTGAATATACCAAGAAGCATAGAAAAAGGAATCTAGACTTTATGTGAACTTCCTTTTCTTGTAATGCTTTTGAAAAGGCTAAATTTACTACCAATGTTAAAGGTAATCACAGATTACTGCACAGTTTAGAAATACATAGAGATAATTTGAAGGAATTCCTTTCACTGTGTGTATTATGTCCCTCACAATTAAGTGCTGGGTTCTAGGAAATCTACCTCAGGATAATGTAATTTTTTTCTGCATTGGGACTGAGGTTTCCTGTAGGGTCTCAGGATCTGATAGAAAATTCCATGCAAAACAACATTTCTGATTGTTCCTCCCTTTTATTAAATAAACAGCTTCTAATTTAACTTTCAATCACCTTTCACAGCAGAGTTATTTACAGCTGTTCAAACCATACAGGGGCACTCCTGCCTTCTATTAGTTACTGATAAGAAGCAGAGAAGTTTTGCCTGAGATCGAGAAAATGCATGTAAATGAATGGACTTGCCTTTACTAAAGAGTCCATGTATTTTCTGGCAAGGCATAGTTGTAGTTTAGCCCAGGGGTCTCCAACCTTGGCAACTTTAAGACTTGTGGACTTCAACTCCCAGAGTTCCTCAGCCACAAGTCCACAAGTCTTAAAGTTGCCAAGATTGGAGATCCCTGGTTTAATCTATATGTACTCTGTGCTTCTAAATACTACTGTCTGGAATCAAGAAGAGGCTTAATTCCCTGTGTCAGCCAAATTGGATCATGGCTTTTCTCTGGCTTATAACACCTTTGATTTTCCATAATCTTCAATTCCTGAGGGATCATCTGTGAAGAGTAGATTTTCTCTTACAATGCGTCTCTCAAAAACCTGTTCATTTTCACATACTTTTCCAGATCATGCTCTTCTCCAATTCACAATCCCGAGAACAAAACAAAGGTTCAATGGTGTAATACTCTCCAGTCCATTTCAGAGTACCAGTTATCATTGTTATTTAGTAAAGCCAATAATTACCAGAACTTTTCTAGAACCACCAACCAGTACATCTTCATTGCCATTCTCTCTCCAGATTCTTTTTCACAATCTGGTAATTTTAAGATTCCATCTCTGATATGAGATCCTTCGTCTTTTCTTGTTCCCAAATTAAATTATAGCTACCCTAGGAATTCAGTGTATGTGCTGTCCCAGCCAGTCTATGGGAATTGGATAGTTACTTAGGAAGTATGAGCTGTTCCCTTAAGGGAAGGCATCATGGTAAATGTAGTTAAAGGTATCCTGGGAAATGTAGTCCATGTCACGTGGCTACATCTATAATCCCGATTGGTCACTAATTTGACCCTCGATGGGTTGGGGGAGTTTCCCTCACTTTTGCCTGAACTCCCTAACTCATGGGAGCTACTTTCTATCTCTTCGAGATGGGTTAGGTGATAACCATCTTTAACTACAAGGCAGATATACAAAGGGATTGATCATTAAAGAATAACTTCATCACAAACGTGAGTTATGAGGATACCTGATGAACCAATAAATGTAATTTGTTATGGATGTCTTGTTGAGTTATCTATCTGCATCTGTACAGCTTTAAATCCACCTCTGTGCAGAAGGCAAAAAAGTGTACATAGCTAAACATTCATGTTTTGTTTGCTAAGAAAACCTTTTGACTATGCTACTAGAATCCAGAAATGTGTACTACTAAAAAGAATTTTTTGTGCCACAAACAGTACTGAGAAATTTGATTTAAACTTTAAGCCAAATTGCTTGAATATGAGCAACTTCCTATCTGAATGGATGAATTTGTATGAATAGGGGCAATTACAATAAATGGGGGAAAAATAACAGAAAATAAAGCAATAAGCCTGCTTAATTATGTTATTAAATAAGTAAAATTTAAGCCACGTTAAAAAAAATATTCTAGCTTTTTTTACTTGTAAAGGTGATGCAACAACTTTAAAAACTCGCCCTGATGTTTGTACTGATTCCAAAGTGCAAAAAACTTGAATCTCGTAATAAATATACTGTTGTGAGGATCATCCAACCATTTTAAAACAATGTTAACTTAAAACAAAATCCTGTCAATGTCCATTCATATAATATATGAAGGGTCTTTAAATACATGAGCCCTAATGTATCTACAACAGCTTTTTCCAATGTGATGATTTCCAGACAAATTGAACATAAGTTCCATTTTCCCTAACCCAATGCAGTTCAACGGTGTAACCAATTATCCAGGTCAGTGGGGATACCTTTTGCTAGATAGCATCAAGCAGAGAGGCTGCTTAATACCCTGTCAGGGCCGCTTTAATTTAGATTTCTGCACTAAATGAGGATTTGTGCACTCATTGTGAAATGTCCCCTTCCACACCTATTGTTCTAAATCAGAATAGGTGGATATAATATAAAGGATTAATTTCAGTTAAGCTCACTTCAGTGACTAAGACTACAATTCCATTTCACTTAAACAGTAATCCTATCAGTCACAGGAGAAAATGCTGGTATTTTGGAAAAAAATGGAAGGCCAGCTAGAAAGAGGCCGACAGAAAGCAAGGAGCCGGATACCTTAACCAAAGATTCAAACTGAAGCTTCAAGGATCCTAATAAGCAGAACCAAGATACAATCTGAGCAAAATATTACCCACTGAGTCTCAAAGAACCAGAAGCAACTGAGCGCTTAATTCAATGGAACTTATATTTTCTGAAGAGAAGGACTGCAAGAATTAAGAAATGCACATAAAATAAGCAATGCTTCAAATAGTTCCTAAGGGGAAAAGTACTTCTCCATCTAGAAGCCAACCATGATATAAGTCCTTTCCAATGGACTTATTAAAAAATTAATTCCCTCATTAGAGCTACAGCAACTGCTTTCTAATCAGCCTATCATTTTCGGCTGCATCACAACCATTCCATTTAACATTTAATGACTAAAATGAAAGCTAGCAATTAAGACAAGTGCCTTGAAAGTTACCATACCTTCACAGACTCTTAGCTGCCAAGGAAAGAAAGTCGGGCCAGTTTTCCTTTTGAGGAAGTTCTCAGCTATACTGGCAAATCATTATTTTTGTTTTTTGTTTTTCAGGAACTACAGGAGTGGGTCAGCTGGCTAACGACCTTGTTTGAAAAGTAAATACACCTTGCAGTACGATAACCTGGAGGGGTGCAAGAATAATTCATGTTCACAAATGTGCAGAGCAACATTGGTAAGGATCCTGGCTGAGGAAACAGAAAACAGAGGCCTCCTATTTACACCAAATATGTTAATTAAATCAATCTTTAAGCTTCAAAAACCTCCAATAAATCATATAAATGTACAGTTCCTTGCTGAAGAAAGGATTTTTAAAAAGATAGTTAATCATATATCAGGGATCATACAAAGGACCACACACATTAAAATTCTGAGGGAGAGAACAAGGCAAGTTAAGGCTCCTTCTTAAAAGAGCTTTTTGCCTAACTTAATAAACTTCCATACAAAGAAACTGTTTTATTTTGTGAAATATTGCTCTAATTCCAAACACATTCCTGAGTCTTAAATCAGATTGTCCCAACAGGTTTTATATTCCAATATAAGTATTTGGAGGAGTATACCCAATGTGAACATCCTGGATTGTGTACATTTACTTTGGTTTATTTTTAATAATCTAATTTTACTTATGTGGTAAATAAAGCAATAATTACACATTAAATTATACAATTATATATTGTTTTTAGATTTATAGTCTGTCTTTCTTCCTGATACAACCTTTCAAAATATAAATATGCTAAGCATATTATTATATCATATCATATCATTATATTAACAATACTATACTACTACATTACACTACAATTATTATAATAATCTTTTTGTGGCCATTTGCACACTATGATTTTCAAATAAACTAACTTACAGAATTCATTCAAAATTCAGGACCTATTCTCCCATGAGATTGAAATTTAGCAAAGTTACCATTGCCAAACTTGGCAACTTTAAGACTTATGGATTTCAGCTCCCAGAATTCTCCAGCCAGCTATGCAGCCACAATCATCTAACGTGGTGTGATTATCGTAGGCATATCCACGACATATTTCTCATTGCCTTCTGGCTCCTGTGCTCAGTTGCTAGTGGCAAGGCTCAACAGGTGAACAGCAGATTATAGAGCAGGTTCAAATCTTCTCTCTTTCTATTAATCTGCCGGTGGAGTTAGAACTCCCAATTTACCTCTTTTCAGACATATGTGCTGCCCATCCTGTGGTGCCTGCCTTCTGAAATTACATCCTCCCAGAAATCTGTGTAGTTCTCACCTTGAAGACATTTTGAAAGTCCTTTAAAAAGAGATAGTTCTCCTAGGCCTTGTTTTAAGATATTTGTGCAGCCCTAGTTGATCGATTGATGCTTGGTTTGTCTTGTCACACAGGTTCTCTTCATTTTTCCAATGTAAGCCAGCCAGAATTGGGAGTCTCCAGATCTAATACTGGTAGTTCACAAATTACAACCATTCATTTAGTACAGTGGTGCGTTTCAAACATTTTTACCACTGGTTCAGTGGGCTTTGCACGCACGCACACACTCTGCATGTGCGCCACACACACACTTTGCACAGGCACAGAGGCTTTCCAACTCGCCTCCTGCAACCCTGCACTCTCCCTGTTGCTTCAGCAACTGCTGTGCAGCAATCTCCTTGCCACAGAAAGCAGCTGCGCTTCAAAAGCAGGATCTAAAGGTTAGTATGGGAGCCCAGCTGGGTGGGTGGGCCCAACAGCAGAGCTTCAGAGAGAACCAGTTTGGTCTCCACTGCTCATTGGCACTATCAGTTTGGAAGAACCAGGCAGAACCAGTAGAATTTAGTAACTATTCCAAGTTACAATGACACTGAAAAAGGTGACTTGTGATCAGTTTTCACACTTATGACCAGGATAGGATTGTACCAGTTCGCACCTATTCGCTAGAACCGGTTGTTAACATTCTAAGCAGTTCGGAGAACCAGTTAGAAGAAATTACTGGCCTAATCCTGTAAGGAAGGCAGGAAGGAAACATTCTGGTGTTGCTTACAGAAACTGTCTCTCCATTAACCTTTATTACATTCTTGGCAGGACTAGACTTCCTGTCTCAGGAACATCTCTGGAGTTTTTTCCCCCTCCTTTGCTGGTGCTTTGCTTGTGTGGAGTGACCATTCAAAGTTACAATGGCACTGAAAAAAGTGACTTATGACCATTTTTCACACATACGACTATTGCAGCATCCCCACAGTCATGAGAGGCCAGACGAGATGTGTGCCTCGATGTGAGTGATATTGAGTTGGCCATGCCCAGCCAATAACTTGACCACCAAGCCATGTCTACCAACTAAGCCACGCCCACAGAACCGGTTGTTAAAAAATTTGAATCCCACCCCTGCTTATGACTGTCAAAGCCCCATGGTCACATGATCAAAATTTGGGCACTTGGCAACTGGCATGTACGTATGATGGTTATACTGTCCCGGGATCACCATTTGTAACCTTCTCAGCCAGATTCCAATAAGCAAAGTCAGTGGGGAAGCCAGATTCACTTAGCAACTGCATTATTCATTTAGGAACTGCAATGATTCACTTCACAAAAGTGCCTCCCCCCGCCCCCCCCCCAAAAAATGTTCAATGGGATAAAAACCTAACAACTACTTTCCTCAGCAATGGAAATTTTAGGCTCAATTGCAGTCATAAATCAAGGACAACCCAATGCTTAACAAAACAAAATAATGCTTAAAGCAAGTCTTTGAGGCTGCTGCTTTAATTTTCAATTTGTGTTCTCTAAATCTACAATATTAAAAGGAAACCAGGTAAGGGGTGTCAAACTTGTGGCCTGTGGGCCAAATGTGCCACGCACTGGCCACGCTCACTCCCATTTTAGTGAAGGGGGGGAAGTTGTGACATGTTATGTGACAACAACGTGATGACGTGAGTTTGACAGCCCTGAGATAAGGCATAAAGCTGGATGGGCATATTAATATTCAGAACAGCTACACTGGAGACCCAGGAGCTATAATTATGCTACCAGGAAATTAGAAATATGAAGGAAATCCTTAGGAGTGGTCTTAGATCCAGAGATTCACAGGCAACTCTTTTTCATCGTGGCATATCTTTGTGTTATGTTAACGGTATGATATGGTAATTAGATTTATATCTCACTGCAATCATAAATGGATTCTCAGCAGCTTATAGGCAAGAACAATAAGATCATAATAAATAATAAACTATACAACATGTACAGCCTCCAAATAATATCTGGCATCAACACACAGAGGACCTTGAATAGTTCAGATTTCAGCTGGTTTTGGAAGACAGTATTATTTCTAGTTCCATTTGTGATTTTATAACTCCCTTAAAGCCATGGATTTTGCAAGTTGCAAAAAGGTGTCGTATTTGTCTTCTGCACTGCAAATGCTCTTCCTTTTCTTTCCTCCTTTGAAGTTGTGGGTGCTCCAACATTGGATGTTTTTAAGCAGAGATTGGACAACCATTTGTCTGAAATGGTATTGGGTTTCCTGTAGAAAGTTGGACTAGAAGACCTTCCAACCCTGTTGTTGTTATTGTTATTAGTCTATATGAAATGCTCAAAAGTGTCTGGCTTTTAATAAAATTGGTGAATTGCAACAGGTGTTTCCAGATTCTTTCTGGTTTTCTGCTGCCATAGACTAACCAGGCTCTTCTCTCATTTTAGAAGCTGAACTGAAAAATTTGTTGTTGTTGTTGTTGTTTAGTCGCTAATTCATGTTTGATATTTGCAACCCCATGGACCATAGCAAACCAGGCCCTCCTATCTTCCACTGAGATAGAGTTTGCCTAAATTCATGTTCATTGCATAAAATTGAAAAATTATATTTGAATAAAAGAATAGATAACGCAGAGTGTTCCACATTCCACAAATTACCTTTTGCAGCCATACATTAAAAACACTTTTTTTTCCTAGTTAACATCTGCCCTGGGAAAATCATAAATATACCAGGCACAGCATGAAAGTCTTTTAGAAAGCAATAGGAGGGATAAAACATCTAATGAAAAAATTAAGGTGAATTACAATGTCGACTTTATTATTACTCTTCCTTGGGCAAAGATGCTCTTTCTATATGCCCCATTAAAAAATAAATTGCACCAAAATATTCATGAGTCTTCAAGGAATCATCCGTACAATTGCTGCCTCGTGTAATAGCATTCTGGAAAGGTCACCTCTTAAAAAAAAAAGTTACCTGAAATGTATCTACTATTATTATGTCAAAATAAAACATGGTAACAGCTGTGAAAAGCATCCAAAAAGAAGCTTCCACACAATCAAAGGTCAAATTCTAAGTTGTATTTATATGGCTCTGAAAAGACAAATGCACCAATATGTGTGAGCATGGGTCTCTGAGTGTGAATTATTTGCAACATAGGGTATGGAATAAGTCTAGAGTCAAACCAAGGTAACAAGGTGAAGGGCTCAGGTATATAAAACTGTCACAATCTTGCCTAGGATGAGATGCATTATATTTTCACTACTCTTGTAATTATAATGCATACTCTTCACATATTAATGTATGCACATTTTATGAAAATCTGTTAACTTTTGACCTCCTGTTTTGATGAAGCAACTATGTCTGATAGTAAGAAGCATTAAATGAGCAATATAGGATAACTTTCTCATGCCTGGTATCTCCTGTTGTGTTGAAAGAGTGAGTCTTCCAAGTACCCAGACATTTGGAAGCACCAAGTTAGGGAAAGTTTCTACAAGAGGCTTTTTAGAAAATAGAACTTGAATTTACAGTGAGGTAAATTGGGTGCTTTCTTTTGTTGCTATTTTCAGCCTATATATCTATTTTTTTAAAAATAGATATTTTCTAAAAATAGACCTTTTGAGAATTTAACACTGTATATACCCTGCAAATTAAATGGCCCTGTTAATTACATTCATCAGAAGAATGTCTATGAAAATTCTCAGTCATCGAGATCCAGTGGTGGGATTCACATTTTTTTTTTTTACTACTGGTTCTGTGGGCGTGGCTTGATGGAAGTGGCAGGGAAAGGATACTGCAAAATCCCCATTCCCTCCCCACTCCTGGGGGAAGGTTACTGGAAAATCCCATTCCTTCCCCACCCCACTAACCTGCTTTCCAGCTCCATTCTCCTCTGCAGGGCAACAAAAGAAGACCCAGCCGATC